GAATTCATCCTCAACTAATTCTCCCTTCTAACACTAATATGCTAGCTTAGTGGAGAATGCTTGCTATCAGAATATATAATATATCAAAATTTTAACTGATTTGATTTAGCAGAAAAAGCTACGGCTGAAAATGCAATTGGCCGAAGACTTTTGAGCGCTATTGACATTAATATCCTTCAATTGGAGATAGATTCTCAAAGTCTGACAAAAGAGATGACCTCAACGTTCTCTCTAGATTTTATGGACGATTTTCGTGGTAACTTTGAAGGTACCCAAGCTTTCCAAATGAATTTTTACGTTCAATGCGCTTCCTTGCACAATGTGCCTTATAACTAACTTTTCTACGTATCAACTCTAAGTGAATTCGAACAACATATCACAATGGAATGTTGTTCCTTTTTCACAGTATTCTGTTACACCATAATTCCAGATCCTCTTGCCTGTTCCTCAATCCATTTCGATGCATGTTTGCACGCTATTTGCTGCGCAACATTAACTGCACACCATAGCACTCACAGTACGTATGTAGTAGTACGTAGTATGTATTATAGTGGTACTCACTTGTACGATAGCATAGTATTGAGACGTGATGCCCTTTCTCAACTTTTCTGAAGCAATATTAAATTTTATCCAAATTTCAGCATTAAATGTCTGCCAACGGGCATACCGATCGATCAGATGAAATTATCGCTGGAATAATTATGTTTACGGTGAGTTCCGAAGTGTCGAATCTCCTTCCGATAATACTCCAATCTCCTTTGAGTGGAATGTGTACCTTTACAAAAAAAACAGTCTCCATTATCTTCCGAAAGGGAGAAATTAGATGGTGAAAAACAGAAGGGCTAAGCTTAAGATGCTACGCCACGTGTCTTGATTCTACTGGAAAAAAACGTAGATCTTTACAATTATTTGTGTATTTTGAGCAAGAGGGAATCACGCTTGTTTTCAGTCAAAATCCGCGGTGTCACAGGTAGTAGCCAATGTTTTCACTTCATTACCTCTGGAATTTTCAACATTCGAATTGCGCCTGCCTAGATTTTTTCATGATGTCCATTGCGCAAGGTATTGTGGTAGGGAACCGAGTCCCTGAACAGATGAGAGCATTTTGCTGGGTATCAATGTATCATTCACTTGAGCATCATTTGGGCCAGGCGGCAGTCGCACATGAGTT